ATCCAGGCTCACTCAAATTCACTCATGATCCTCCTGTCTCAGTGTGGTCAGTGCTGGGCAGCAGACATATGCTCCCATGCCTGCATATTCCTAACTACTACACAATTATTCAAAATTAAACTGGATGTCAATAAAAAGTTTATCAAAAATCCTACCATCTCTTCCATATCAAAAAACGATCCAAAGCCTTCAGTGTGCCAGAAGTGTGGAACTGGTGTGATTTTCTCTCGGCGGGCAGTGGGATGTACTTCCTAACTGCACAGATCTAGAGCTAAGTGGGACCCGGTATCCTCCAAAGTGACTGTGAGGGATACTCAAGGGCACTGTTTGGAACATGCTAGCCCTGTAGGGTTCGCTCTGGAAAACAGGAAGTATTAAAGGTCCTGTCTATGCCTACATCAGGGCAGACTTTTAAAAAGCCACAACCGAGCCCCAGATTTCCACCCCATGCTGCGCACACAGAACCTGCACTAGTCTACCCCACATCCAAATCTAAAGGCAGTTAGGCACGGATTTCCGAGGAATATGTTAGGACCCCACTAAAAGTCCAAGGTTGGTTTCAGTCTTTAACGAAAAAGTGCCCGTCCAAACATTTATTTTTCACTCTCCAAGCTATGAAAAGTCTTGCAAAGTACAACATCAGTTTCTGCTCAGCTTGGGCCTCAGTGCCTGGTACCGAGGGCTTCTTCAAAGATGCACCTGTTAAGTCCTGTTAGAGGCAGCGGTGTGGTTCATGCTTCTCCACTGAATGTGTGTCTTGCTCGCACACACTCTGTGACAGACCCTCAGATCTCAAGTCCTCAGAGAAGCACATGACAAGCACATGACTCCCCATTTCCATCACTGGAACTAAATGGCAACAGGCTGAGCAGCTCACCAGCAAGAAAGTTAGGATGCCACAGCTAAATGCTCACACCCAATTTTTTTTTTTTCATTCCTTCACTGAAGAGCTTCATAAGGTGTATGGCTACTAATCCACTAATGAATCTCCAGATGTGAACATCTGGATAACACAATATGCTCATCAGCTACTCCCCTTTGAGACTGGACTTGTTAATCCTGACCCAAAGCTACAGTTTGCTGGAGCACAGATTCACCCCTCCTGTGTTACAGGTAACCAAGCATCTAAATGACCTGAGCCATCAACTATGTTCTAATTGGCCAAGAACTGCCACAAGAAGGTGTGACACTGGGGGGGGAAGCTATCAGAGTGATATATATTATCAGGGGAAACAGAATTATAAGTTTCCGAGGAACTTATAAGAAAGCTGTGTATATAACGTTTTTATAATCTTTAGAACTTTAAAGGTAAGAAGTGAAGGTTTTGTACCATTTGCCTTCCTACTGTGTGTGACTAAAAAATGACTACCCTATTCAAACCATGACCACGTGACTTGAGATCGATGCTCACACTTAATTCCTCTCTACGAGGACTGCTTTAAATCCAACAGGAGCGATTCATCATCATCTACTCTCACCTGAGGTTTAAAAGTCACCTTCAAAGGCTCAGGAGGTGGGGGATCGCCTCCTTCTTGGGGAATGTACCCTACCTTGGCCACCTCCTTTTCTGTCTCACTGAACTCCTCAGGGTGGAACTCATGGATGGGCCCCAGCGCCAGGCTACCTGCGATGATGTCCACGCCCATCCCTCTGTCTCCCTCCTGGCTCTCCGCCTTGGGATCCTTTGGTTTCCTAAGGCTGCGTATCTTGAAAGCCTCCTTTGAGGGGGCAGCATTTGAAATTGATTTCTTAAATCTTTCTCCTGACTGTCTGAGCCTCTCCCCTGACTGTCTGAGCCGCTCCCCCGACTGTCTGAGCCGCTCCCCTGACTGCCGCAGCCTCTCTCTCCTCTCGGGTGTGACGATTCTAGTTCTAATTCCACTCACTTTCTTGTCAAAATTCTGCCGCGTCTTCTGCATGTTCTCTTTGGAAAATGCCTTCTTGATATGATCAATGTGCTCCTTGCCTGACTTCCTAAACTTGGCGGATCTGCTTTCTTCAACGTAATATTCTTCATCCGAGGAGAGCTCTACCGGGGGATCAAAGACTTCCTCCTCCTCCTCCTCCTGGTTCTCAGGCAGGCTTCTGTCTTTAATAACAGACAGGGATGAGGGGCACCGAACGTTCTCCTGAAGGGCAGAAGAAGAAGGCATGTGAGTGATTCCTGCATGGCAGGCACCAGCTGTCACCTCTGGCCGCACCTTACGGCCCTCCTCCATGCTGTTTGTCCCCAGGCTGCATTTCTCAGGGTCTCTCTCCGTTGGCTTTTGTCTCACAGATACTGTTCCTTAGCTTCCCCACTCCTGAGATGACAAGCTTCTCCATCAGCACAGGCATCTTTCAGTGAGAGGTGCCAACCTCAAGGCCACCCATCACGCTCTCCACTTGAACTTCCTTCCCTTTCTCTCCCAGCACCAGTGACCACTTGGGTGTCACACAAGGCAGGGACCTCAAACATCACCCCAATACTCCTCACCCTCTTGTCCCACGATCAACTAGTCATCAAGTCCTACCAATAACACTGCAAAAAAATGTCTGCTTCTCCCCCCCCCCTCCACCCATGTCTTAATTCAGCTCATCGGGACCTCAGGTCTCAGCTTGGGCCATCAAATCCCCTCCAGTCCCTCTCCTTGCAGACCATTATCTGAGAATTTCCCGAGAACTGTTTTTACCGCACAGTCTGGTTATAACCCACTGAAGACTTCTAAGAGCCCCATCAGTGCTCAAGGAGAGAACCTGAACCTTTGCAGGATGCTTAGAAAGTTCTGACATGACCCTACTTCCTCTCTTCTCCAGCCCAGACGCATGCTCCATTCTTGAGGGCCTCAAAAAGGGAAGGTTGTGAACCCTCTGCACAAGAGGAGTGCACCCTATGGCACCCTGGATGTAAATCCCAGGGTGAGTATGGATGTTGCCCAAATACATTTGCAGAGAGCAATGCCGTATCTCAGTGTCAAATAGACACGCACGCCCTCCACCTTCGTATGTGTGCCTGCTTCTGTCTCCAATACCCCTTTCCCTTTCTTAGCTTCACAAATGACAGCTTTCCTCAAGAATCAATTCAAATGTCCCAACTTCCCCCAAGTACAGAGTTAAGAAGGCCAGGTCAGGAGAGGCCCTGTTGGCCAATAGTAAGGACAAGAGTTACTATTCTGACAGGAAGACTTCTCAAGGTTTTGAGGACAGCAAAGACATGATTTGACCCATGCTGTATGCTGTACAAGGGCCACCCTGCTGAAAGCAAGCCACGGGGTAAGACAAGCAAGAACAATGACTGGACAGTACTGAGCTTAAGCAAAGGGAAGGTGTGGGGGGGGCAGAGAAAGGGGAGAGACGTCTTCTGACTGCAGAGGTGCTCTGAAGGTCAAACCCATAGAACCTGTTGCTAAATCAACAGAGAGAGGACTCCACCATTAACTGAGGCACAGAAGCCAGAGAAGGAACTGGGAAGGAAGGGTGGGACACTGTCTTTGGAATGGGCACTGGGTATGCAGACAGAGAGGCTGAGTAACTGGGACTCAGGAGGGAGGTAAGGGCCAGAAACAGGCACTCAAGAACCATTAATACAGCGATGAAATGAAGAGGCATGGAACTCATGCACTAGAGAGCTCAGTTGAAGTGTTTGCCACATGTGAGAACCCAAGTTCAGCCTCCAAAGCCCACATAAAAAAAGCAAGGCAGAGGGGAAGTGTTTGGGCTCAGTAGGTAAAAAGTACATCAAGCAAGCCTGATGACCCGAGTTCAGATCCCTTGGAAGGAGAAAATCAGTTCCCGAAAGTTGTTCTCTGGATTCCATACACATGCTATAGAGCACATGTGTGCCCACACTTTCTCTCTCTCCTCTCTCTCTCTCTCTCTCTCTCTCTCTCTCTCTCAAGTCAAGCGATCAGAAGACAGAGTGGTGTTTCATTCAAAACTCCTCGGAGAAAAAAGGGTTTCTCAAAACTCAGAATTAAATTGACTTTGGGAAACTACAATAGATAATATACTATTCCCAGAATGACTTCAGGACAAGACAAGTCCCCTGACAAATGAGTCATTTTAAAAGTTTTATTATGCTGACATGGTGGTCCATAACTATACCCCCAGTTCTCAGGTGGCTGAAGCAGGAGGATCACAAGTTCAATACCGGGACTATACAGTAAAATCCTGTTAGAAGAAAGAAATGAAGAAGGAAGGAAGGAAATGTTCAGGTTTTGATTTTAGAATGTTAGGGGATTTTGAACCTATACATGAGTGAGGAAACAAAAACCACCAGCCAGTGAAGAAGACAGGACACCAGGAGAGCAGGACCCCCAAGGCTGAGGAAAAACTGGTTTAGGAGAAAAACAAACTCTGCCAAGAGTAGAGAAGCCAGCACAGGGTATGGGTAAAAGGAACCTGGTGTGCTACTTAGAGATTATTTCTAAAACATAACAGGCAACTTTGGGAATTGTGAGATTTTTAAAAACTGGACCATGAGTTCTAATTTCTAAAAAAAAAAAAAGAAAGAAAAAAGAAAAGAAAAAAGAAAAAGAAAGAAAGAAAGAAAAACAAAACAAAAAACCAACCAGCATTGATACTTGAGATCCACGTTGATTCCATTCAACAAACAGATTTGGTAAATACACAAGGAGGATGCTTGCACACACCCTAAAATATAACCAGCCTGAGAGCCAGGATGGCATCCTTAGAATCTTTTTCCTTAACTTAAATTACATTTTTGGCTACAAGATCCAAGTGCCCATGAGCCTCCCTCTCCCCAACGAGAGAGGCAGAAGTGGGCGTCTCATAACTTCCTGATGAATCAGTTAGAGGCGGTGAAGTTATTCCTCTCCTTCCTGCACCTGCTGTGGGGAGCAGCCCAGCAACCGTGTGGGTTGGACGAGCCTGAGAAGGTTTGATTAAACAAGGAAAGAGCCCCAGGGTATGGCTTGGTAGGTAGAGATCCTCACAATGCTGCAGGGAAGGCACCAGACACAGGGAAACGGGAATCACTCGCCCTTTTCCTCAGATGCACCACAGACAGTACAAAATCAGGCTTTAAAACAATGGTGAACACAGAGCGGCAAGGCTAGAAAAAGTCCTTGCCTGGAAATCCATCCCAGTCCTTATGAATCCTTGCCACTGTGCGCTAAGGGTAAACACTGTGCAGATAATGGAAGGTCGTAGGGGTGAATTATAGTTGGCATATGAATACAGCCACATTTGGATATGAAAATCCAGGTCACGTTTTATTGTTCTTGAGACAGGGTCTCACGGGGCTCAGGTACGCCTCAAACTCTGTATTTGAATTCCCAGTCCTCCTGCCTCCTCCTCATGAGTGCAAGGGCTATAGGTGTGCACCAGCACACCTGATCTAAAGAATTGTTTTTGCAACAGAACAAAAACTGTGGGTCAGAGTAAAGTGAGATTGAATTAATAGGAAATTAACACAGATGGGGCATTTTAGGTGCAGAGAACTCTGGGACTTATTTGAGGATGTTCCGAAACTTACTAGGTAACCACAGACTTGTGCTTTAAAAAGTTACTGGAACTATGAGAAGATACACTGTGGCCCACGCCAAGCATGAGAGAGGTCACCAGGGTGAACGAGTGTTCAAAGAGAAACGACCTGGGTAAGAATGTCACGCCATTTTTAAATGCCAACATCCAGAATTTGGCAAAAGCTTAACCATATACAACTGCAAAGGGTAGGATACCAATATTTTGTTTATCTGATATTGTTTTTATTATTATCCCTTGTTACCAAGTTTATCCCTGTCATCAATATAAGAGATTATCAACAAGATATGCCCAGGGGAAATATAAGGAAAATCTCAAATGAAAATGAAGATACACTTCAGCTGACCAGCTTGGTTTCGAAATAAATTAGAAGGGAAAATCTTCAAAAAAACTATGAGAATTGATTATAGCTAATTTTAACAGCTAAAAATAATCATGTAAATATCATACACACCTACATATATTCTAATGTATAACAAGTACATGAATCTGAGTCCTATGCCCATAATATGAGACCTCATATTTTCCCTGTACACGTATAAAAGATAGCAACTGTTTTTTTTTTTCTGACAAATTCTTGTGTAATTTCACAGATTCATCAAGATATTCTATCCTAAAAGAAGAGGTTTGCCGCTCAGTTCCTTCACGAAACTGCAGGGTCCAAAGACAGAAAATGGCAGAAAGTTACAGAGAAACGGGAGTCAGAGAAAGAATTACTTCGGTGAATGGGACCAGCTGGAATTTTTGTTTCCTTGCTGGGGCTTCTGTCAATCCTGTGGGAAACCTGGTCCCCAGACCCAGGGACTCCAAGTGTACCTCCTGACATAACACATGCCAGTGAAGGGTAAGAACCCAGGCAGGGGCTGGCGCCCCTGTGAGGTGAGTGGATTTGTTCCGCAGTCCCATTCCCAGCTCACCACTGTCTGCTCTGACACTGGAACTGACACCTGAAGCAGGTGACATTTTTAAGCCCAGAGAAAGGCCTCCAGAGGCCTGGAAGGGTGATAGAAAAGGACACTGGTCCACTCTTCTATCTTTGAAATAAGCGCCTCCTCTCTCTCTCTCCTCTCTATTATCCTCAATAACCTGTGAACTCCGAAACAAGTCCCAAATACCGCTCTCCCTTTCCAGCGTAACTCGACCACTCAGCAGAGCACTCTGGAGCCCTGATCAAGGCACGGAGAACAGGAAGGGTATGGACCCTGATGTTCCCACCAACTGTGTCTGCACTTCATTTCGTGTTTTATTCTTCTAGGGGGTCTATGCCACGGACTTCCGCTTTTTAAAAGTGTATCGCTGTGCACATGTACTGATGGACATTCCCATTAATTACTTTAATTAATGACTTAATGATTTTACGCTTAGAACCAACTCCCCGGCATGAAATTTGGGGGCCCGAAGACTTGGGAATTTGTAAAGTTCATAATATACACTATCAAGAACGCCTTCTAGCACGTGGTGCCGGCTACTTCCCCCAATAGCGGGACAGGGAAAGCCGCCCATTCTAACATTCGCACTCTGGATTTACGGTTCCGTGATGGCCACTGTTTAGACGGCTGAGAAAGGAGCCCTGATCTCTTCTACTCTGTAGTCTAGAAACTCTTCTCTCTTCATTATTCTTTCCTAATGAGGGGGAAAGAGTTTAACGCGTCCCTTTTCATTTACAAGAGCTCAAAAGAGTACTGCAGACATTCCGTGTTGCCACAGGTACGCTCCAATTTTTTAAAGTATTGAGCAGTGATAGGAACTTAGCAAAACAAAAAAAAAAAAAAAAGCAAAAACAATTTGACTGACACTGACCTACATCCTCTGCCCGTCCCAGTTTCTTCTTTTAGGTAACAAAGACGGTTTTTTAACTTGAGATTTCTTAGGACCCTTTTGGCTCCAGCATTCTGAAGTCTACTGGGTCACTATGCTTAATAGGACTCAAATACTGAAGAAAAAAAAACTGACAGAATTAAGTTTCAAAGGGAAGAAATAGCTTGAGCCGCAAGCCACAGTTCACATTACATGACCAGTTAAGAAGCTCAGGCTTCACGGATGGCAGAGTGTCGGTTAGCAGGAATGGCTCTACCCTGAGGTGGCTACTCAGCGAGCTCCACGACATACCACAGACGGTGGCTGAGACGTGACAGAGACTACAGTCATGTAGCTGAACACAAGCGCAAGCTTACCTGGAATATTACCACGCGGAATTTGTTTTTCTTCATTATTTCTTCTTGCTTGCTTTCAACTTTGGTTACGTGGACCTGCTGCTTCTCCACCCTGGCCTTCACGTCCCTGATGTGAGCGCTGACTTTCCGGGTCTTCTCAAACAGCTTGTTGACGATGTAGCCCATGTTGATGTGGGACTGTGAGAGCTTCAGCAGGTCAATCTGGACAGACTTTATAGCGTTTTCCATCGCCCGGTGCCTCTCTTCTATTCTCTTCTGGCTGGCCTGCACACTGTCCACGACGGTGGCCACCCTGTCCAGCACGGTCACGATCGTAAGAGCGGCGTCTTGGTCTTCATCTTCAGTCACACTTGACAATCGATTCTGGTGGATTTTACCAGCGCTGGAAGCAGACCCGTTGTGCTCCATCTTACTTCTTCCTCAGCAGAAGATGTCCTACAGCAACCAATTCCTATACTCGAAGCCAAAAGTCGGCTCGGTAGCAGGCTACACGAAGCTGCTTTAAGGGCTGAAAACCGCACCCTGGAGAGTGGTCAAGTATTTATAACTACAAATGCCCATACGTGACCGTCCTGTAACACGAGCCCTTGCAAAGCACCGGGGCCAGTTCCAAACATGCTTGCCGACTGACTAAGGACCTCAAATAAGACCGTGTGGGTGGGAAGGGAAAGCTGTCTGAAGTTCACTGAAGTCACCGTGTTACTCATAAGAAGCCTGCAAGCCAAGCAGCTTGGAACACTGAGCAAAGATTTTCTCTTTGGATCATTTCAAGCAATAGTTTGTACAACTCTTGTGGACTGCAGTCTTCCTTTGCTGTTCATTTCACCTATCGCAAATACTAATAGACCAGTACCAAAGAATACAAGAAATAAACACACAAAGCAGACCATATAGTGAAAACATTATATTATAACATGCTTTTCCAAATCAAATTATTAAAATTATTATTTAAGTTTGAACATAGTCTTTAAACCCTACATGCATAATTTTGACTAGCCAGGCTACACATTAGACACCTCGACACATTCTACTCACATTTCAGACCCTTGAACAGCAACAATCTATTAATAGGGCTACTACAGGACAAATTTGAATCAGAGGTCTCGGGTCATTCTGAAGCTCACTTTCAGAACACCAATCATTAACAATTATTTCTGCATGGTATTCACAAACACGGATACGATTTGTGTATTTCTATTAAAACAAATGCCATGTTTAAAAGTGGATGTGGATTAAAGTAGTTTAACTGATAAGTAGGTTTTATTCCAATCTGCTCGTTAAACAGACTATCTTGACAATATCTAAATCTATTTTCAATGAGCTGCTCCGTCATTAATTCCCAGGTATCTTTCCAAATTATCAGAACTATGTCTTCAAAGAGAGAAATCGTCGATTCCAGTTCGTACAGCTTATAAATATGTTACAACTAACACACACAGCTTTGCAGCTCATGCAATAAAGGGGCAGTGTCTAAAAAAAAGCAGGTGCTAAATCTCAAAAACATTTAGATATCTATTTAAACACAGTGTCTTCTAGATTTTTGTTTTCTGTAAGAAAAGGGATCTGTAAACATCTTTACTTTCAGTTCATGCTTTGCCGTTTGCTGTGGTCCTTGGAGAGAAGTCTGACGTTACAGCCACTGTGAAGCGGGTCCGTCCGTCTTTGCAAAAATATTACATTCCACGGGGAAAGAACAATTCTCAGTATTACCATGTGGTACAAATTCGTGAAACCGATTTCTGTATTTAAAAACATAAAACGGAGACTACTAAACAGTCCAAAACTGCTGTAGCTAAATACTCTAAATACGAGCCAACGGTACTACACTAAAAATGTCCAAAAATAAGGCCTCTGAAATAAATATTTCCATTCTTTAAAAAAAGACGTAATAAATGTACATCACATGGTCAGTGTGCATATAAAAGTCAGTTCACACCATCCGGGATGAAGTGTCTGAAGGAAAATGGCCTAGGTTTTGCTTCTGCCGACGGCCTCTATTGTTCTTGGGGCATTTTCTGTTGCACGAAAACACAGAAAGAAAAAAAAATTATTTAGCTAAGAATGTTTAAACCATGTCAAAGTAATACCCGGTTCACACACTGCACCGAGTTAGGAAACGAAACAAGACACTGTTTATTTCAAGGCAAGATGAGGACAGACATAACGGCTGTTTGTTCTTTGCTAAATGGCTGGGCGTTGGGAGGGATCACACTCGTGAATTAGGAACGGTGCCCACGCTGCTGACAGACATTTCTGAGAAGGACGCCCGCCTCTCTGGCCTGGCAGCTGCTCGGTTCCGGTGACGAATCACTGTGACGGTGGGAAAGATGCTGACCTGGCCATTTCCCCTGAGCGTTATCACGGCACCAAAATGACATGAAATGTTTCGCTGGAGACCAAGTAGCACTGCGCTGATAATCTCACACGGTGTGCACTCAAGTCCTCTAACTCAAGAAAACAGGAGGAGCTGGTGTGCACCTGCTGCAGCAGGCCACAGAACCGCACTGGAAACGGGGACCCTCAGCTGAGAGAACCCAGGACAGGTCCTCTATCTCAGTGAATGTGGCCCTGATGTAGAACAAATCTCAGGACAAAAGAATGTGTTAATGCAGAGCAAAGGTGCTGAAGGGAACGCTGTGTTTTGCCTTTGGATCCTACTGGTTGTAGTAGTAACCGCCTACTACTATCCTAGGCCACCTGTGCAAATTCAATGCCCCTTGGTGGAAACAGTGCCTGGGAATGAGCTGGTTTCATGCTTTTTATTCAATTTCAAAGAGGACTGACTGATTTAACTTAAAAGCCTTAATGACAACATTTATGATGGTTTCAAAGGATTTTCTCTCACTAATCCTTACAAAAATAGTCTGATGGAGACAAGGCTGGGATGGCATCCATTTCATAATGAAGGAGCTGAATGACGGGCCAAGCAACCGGCTCTGACTGCCACTAAACCACCATGAACAGGAGGAGCTCCAAGTTCCTGGGACCAAGGTTTTTCCTTCTACACAGTAAAGAGTTTGGCTGAGACGCGTCCAAAGTCCCTGCCAATCTGTCATTCTAGGGGTCTGAAAGCATAAAAGAAGATTCCGAGCATAAAAGAAGAAACCACGACTCACAGATAAGTGGGCCAGTAGGAACATCCATTAAAAGGAAGATTCCTCATAAGCAACAGCCATTGTGGATGAACAGCTGTCTCCTAATGGCCTACATGGGAGAGGCGTGCCTTAAAAATTCAGAGGTGTGGTCCAAGAATGTCATCACAGTATTCCACACAAGACAGAGAGCCATTCGGGAGCAGGGTGGGGAAAGGCTGTGTTCCGTTATGTTACAGGAAAGGTGGCCTTAATAGGGAACAAACGTCAGGACAGTGTTACTCCTCTCCCTACCACGCTGTGTGTGCCTCTACGGATGCCCTAAATGCTCTGCCCTTATCACCCACCTCCCCCAGTTCAATCAGTCCTGCACATGGACTTTAATATGGTTCAAACACACTAAACCTCAACCAAAGCAAGTTTGGTTCCTGCCCCCATGCAGCGGTCTTATCTGGCTGACCTATTCCCAGCAGGACTCACCAGGGTCCTGCCTCCTGGACGGCTTCTGCTCAAAGAGGAATGGCAGAAGAATCACGTACGCGCGCGCGCGCACACACACACACACACACACACACACACACACACACACACACACACACACACGGGATCCAAACCCAGTCACTTCCCTGTGCTAGCCGAGTGGCCACAGGCAAAGTAGTTAACCTCTGAGCCTGTATTAAATGGCCACAGCTGGCTAGGCTGTTAAATGTTTTTCCCCCATCTTCTTTTCCTGTTGTCATTGTTTGTTATGCCATTATGTCCCTACTTTGATCTACTGCCCAATCTGATGCTCAGTAGTCTCGCCTAAAGGCAGATCATCTGTTCTGTGGAATAAAGCACACCGACTTTAGTGCCTAAACTTCATGAAAAATATCCGCTACTCAGAGAACGTTTTTCCATCATTTCCAGATTTATCATTTTAGCTCCAGGGTGCTGGGACTACTTGAAGATCTTTTTCCAGGCCTTGGATAGAAGGCCTATCCATCCAACCAGCTTGTCGGTTCCCACCTGATGTGCTCTGACTCCCTGTTCACTGTAAATTCCAGTCTGGCCGGACACATTCCTCCTCATTTGAAAGACACCCATTTACTGTCAACTGTGCTGCAGGTAAGTCTTTTCACATAGAATAAATGCTCTTAATTTTTTACATTTAGTGTGTGTGTGTGTGTGTGTGTGTATGTGTGTGTGTGTGTGTATAGATCAGAGGACAACTTTGAGAGGTTCTTTCCTTCTACCATGTGGGTCCTAGAGATCAAACTCAGAGTATCAGGGTTGGTGGCAAGAGCCTTAATCCACCAGCCCTCTCGCTGGCCCGTGTGCTTTATTTTTAACACAATATTTTTCTTTTTGAAACAGGGTTTCTTTGTAGCTTTGGAGCCTGTCCTGGAGCACAGCATTTCAAAGCTTTTTTTTTTAACTTACCACTGTAATCCGGATATAGTCAGAGAAGGCTATCTATAAAGTTGATGGCTGTTTTCTTTCTTACTATACTTACTACAGGTAAAGTATATTCTCAGGCCATAAAACACAGTTCTGCAAGACTTAAATTATTGCTGCATGGCTCCTCTGTGGATGCATTCCAGAAACTCCGACTCAACCACTGTCCCTGAATTCAGCGCTCCTAGTCCACAGCTCTAAGCTCCCTAGCCTCCTTGACCACATGGACTGTTCCCACACCTCCTCTGCCGATAGCCCAGGTAGGTCCCTAGCTCTGGGAATGAGTTCCTACGCATATTCTAAAGAAGCAAGACAGAGAGAAGTCAGACCCACGAGAAATCCTGTCCGGCGGACTAGACACTAGAAGTGTGGCTGATGAACTGGCCAGCTTAAGGCTCCTTACCCGGGGGAATGCTTGCAGGGTTTGCTCTGATCTACACCTTCCAGGGCACAATTGAACGTCACCACTCTACGGCCATTACCCACCTGGTTATGCACATGACAATCGCGACTATAATGGCGATCTGTACGGCTCCGATGATGGCTGCGATGAGGACGTGCGTGAGCTTCTGCCGACTTGGTACTACGTAGAGAATACTGAAGTCCGTCTTCTCACAGTGCTGCCCGGTGTAGCCGGATTCGCATCTGCAAGGGGGGGGGGCGGGGAGTAATCCCTGTGAGAATTACATTTTCAATGTAGCACGTTTTATTCTTTGAGAATGTCACACACGCATACAGTGTGGCTCCATCAGGTTCATCCTCCCCAATTAACTTCTTCATACCCCCACCCCCTCCCAACTTCATGTCCTTTGTTCCCCTCCTTTTTCTTTATTTTTTTTATTAGTAGCACACTGGGTTCAAATCTGTGCCGCCCGTGTACATAAGGGTGTGAGACAGTCATCAGAACATAGCCGATTTACCAGGGACCATACACCCTTAAAGGAAACTGACCCCTCTCCTGGCAGCCTCAATGTCAACAGGGCTCAGTTAAGGGTGGCGGCTCAGGTGCCCCTCTGCTCTTCCTGCTGGAATGCTGACTGGACTGATCCTGACAGGTCTTGTGCAGGTGACCACAGCCACTGAGTTCACAAGTGCACCGGACCTGCCATGTGCAGAAGACGCTGTTTCACCCCGAACCTGAGTCTACGATCTGTCCACCCTCAGCATTTCCTCAGCCTTGGGGAAAGCAGTGTGATACAAATGTCTCATTTATGGCTGAACAAACCACAAACACAGGAGAA